CACTATTCATTCCTTTCTCCATGATGATTACTTCATCTAATAATTTAACATGAATATAGTTTGACCCACCAGAGATGAAATTCTTACACTCATCAAAATATTCCTCCATAATCCTGAGAGAATGTAATAAAAAATGTACCATTCTAAAAGCTGCTCTATAATGTCATCAAACTATAATACAGAGTACTGGTGATGCTCACAAATGGGCAACTCTTTAGCAGGTAATGAAACAAGTCCAGAACCAAACATTCTGTAATCTGTTTGAATCAACATGGCAGTGTCATCATCACCCACTTACATTGAATTCAAATCCAAGTATCTCCAAATACTTGGAATGAATTGGCAAAATTCATGCACAGATCTACTGCAGTGAGGCGAAGGGTTTTGAATGAATGAACAGGAGTAAACGTCCTCAGAGAGAGAAAAACACGCAACAGGTTTCTCAGCACCGTTGGGCCTACCTAGGTCTTTCTAAAATAGTGCTTCCACTGTCTGAGACAGTCTCAGTTTCAAAATGCAAAAAGGAAAGAAAATAATGCCACAGGGAACCTATGAGCCTAGCCATTTTTTTTTTCTTGGAGACGGCATCACCCAAGCTGGAGTACAGCAGCGCAATCTTGGCTCACTGCAACCTCTGTCTCCTGGGTTCAAGTGATTTTCCTGCCTCAGCCTCCTAAGTAGCTGGGATTACAGGTGCGTGCCACCAGGCCCCAACAACTTTTTTTTATTTTTTGAGACAGAGTTCCACTCTGTCGCCTAGGCTAGAGTGCAGTGGCACAATCTCAGCTCACTGCAACCTCCGCTTCCTGAGTTCAAGCAATTCTCCTGCCTCAGCCTCCTGAGTAGCTGGGATTACAGGCGACTGCTACCACGCCCAGCTAATTTTTGTATTTTTAGTAGAGACAGGGTTTTGCCCTGTTGGCCAGGCTGGTCTCAAATTCCTGACCTCAGGTGATCCGCCTGCCTTGGCCTCCCAAAATGCTGGGATTATAGGTGTGAGCCACTTCACCTAGCTGAGCCTAGCCTTTCTGCATAGTTTGTTACTATGCTAAATTCAAGTTGTCCACATGTTGCACTACCAATAAAAAGCCCTTAAGGCCAGGCGCGGTGGCTCAAGCCTGTAATCCCAGCACTTTGGGAGGCCGAGGCGGGTGGATCACGAGGTCAAGAGATCGAGACCATCCTGGTCAACATGGTGAAAC